TTTCTCCTCCTCTCCTCCTCCCTCCCCCTCCTCCCCTCCTCCCCTCCTCTCTCTCTCTCTCCCCCTCTCCCTCTCTCACCCTCTCTCTTCTCCCCTGCAGGTATCCGTCTAAGATAGTTGAAGTGGATCTGGAAGAACAAGAGATACTCCTTCACTTCGAGCGATGGAGCTCTCGTTACGACGAGTGGGTGAACTTCAGCAGCGACCGCATACGCCCCGTCACCCGCATCTCCACGCGCAAGGGCCACGGCAAGGCCGGCAAGATCGTGGTGAGTCGTCGCGGCGACGCCGGCGCCATCGACGAACTGATTTATGAACCATTGTGAATTTATTTTCCAATAAAACTTTTCGTTTTCGACATTCGATTGAGTGCGTAGTTGCAGCGTAGTTGCAGGGCAAGGCCGGCAAGATCGTGGTGAGTCGCCGCGGGTGTTTCTATCCCCCGGGCGTGGAGGGACGTTCACGTGATACAGTTGACATATACTTAAAAACTTAACAGTAACCATAACCCTAACTCCAACACTAACCCTAACACTAAATATCTATATATCGGATGTCTATATATATAGGGGTGTCATCCACAAAAATTAATCTATGGTGTGGGTACAGATATCATGATGCAAAAACCCTAACCCTAACCCTAACCCTAACCCTAACCCTAACCCTAATCCTAACACTAGTGTTGCCACGTTGCAGGACCGTCCCTCCACGCCCGGGAATAGCAACACCCAGTCGTCGCGGCGACGCCGGCGCCATCTACGAACCGATTTATGAACCATTGTGAATTTATTTTCCAATAAAACTTTTCGTTTTCGACATTCGATTGAGTGCGTAGTTTCAGCGTAGTTGCAGGGCAAGGCCGGCAAGATCGTGGTGAGTCGTCGCGGGTGTTGCTATCCCCCGGGCCTGGAGGGACGTTCACGTGAGACAGTTGACGTATACTTCAAAACTTAACAGTAACCATAACCCTTACTCCAACACGAACCCTAACACTAAATATCTATATATCGGATCTCTATATATAGGGGTGTCATCCACAAAAATTAATCTATGGTGTGGGGACAGATATCATGATGCAAAAACCCTAACCCTAACCCTAACCCGAACCCTAACCCTAACCCTGACCCTAATCCTAACCCTAACCCTAACCCTGATCCTAACACTAGTGCTGCCACGTTGCAGGACCGTCCCTCCACGCCCGGTTATAGCCCCGTCGTCGCGACGACGCCGGCGCCATCTACGAACCGATTTATGAACCATTATATGAATTTCTTTTCCAATAAAACTTTTCGTTTTCGACATTCGATTGAGTGCGTAGTTTCAGCGTTGCGTGCATTTTTAACTTTGCGTGTTTCCGTGTTTTCCTTGCAGCCGATGAAGGTCGGGGACAGGGTGATGGCGAAGTGGTCGGATTGCAGGAAGTATGCCGCCACGGTCACGTGCGTTCACGCCGACGGTATGTGTTGTTATCAGGCGACGATAGAAATATTGTTTGTTTGCTCTCACCCGACTGACCCGCCAAAAAGGGGCCGACTGAAAAATTTGTATTGATCTTTTTTTCTTTTTTTTTAACAAATTGTATCAGTGTACATTATATAAATCTGAAGGCAATACATGATATCAAGAGCCCATTAACCCCTGTCAAACGCGTTTTCCTTACAGCCGATGAAGTTCGTTAGTATTAGTGTAGCAATTGTCCACTCGTTAGTATTGGTGTAGCAATTGTCCACTCGTTAGTATTGGTGTAACAATTGTCCACTCGTTAGTATTGG